ATCTCTGACAGGCGGGGCCGCCTAATTGTTTGCCGAAACGAGACAGCACATAACCCGCTGTAAGAGTGCGAGCGAGACGGACACCAACCCTAATAATCCCACTATAAATAACCGGGCTCCTAATGCGCAGGCGCCACGTTTTTTAGCTCTGACTCGAGTACGACCAAACTTGATACTTGTATAAAATGTTAATGGATAGATTAATAATACGACAAAGGACTGCGAGGTAAGCACCGTCAGACACTACGATTAGGAATCGGCAGTTTATAATGAATGGTATAATACTCGAATATTAGCTTTTAGTGGCTGTCAATAGTTATCAACAGCTGTCCCTGATTGGGACAGACAGGGACATATTTTAGGGTGAATTTAATATAGGAGTGTAGCAAAATGTATTGTTATTTATTTCTTAAAACTGAATTCCTTTATTATATAACAGACTGAAAAAATAAGAGGTTTTCTATGAATAAATATATTAACAAAATTCGTTTGTTTTAGTTTATCATTGCCTTGCCCATTGTTTGTGGTCGGCGCAATATGTTATTCTCTTCCACTGCTCTCTATCGGTCGTCATATCTGAACATACTCTTCTTTTATTCATATTATCTTTCACACAATCCATCCATGTTTTCTTAGGACGTCCCCTCCTATTACATCTATCCATATTCATATTTTAAAAACTGAAAAATTAAAAGGTTTTCTATTCATATTATATTAATTTTTAAATGTATTACATATTATTCGGTATCTTCTTTCTAAATTATTATTGGTGTTTGAAATATTAACTTTTTAGACTAAATATGTAATGGAATATATATTCCTCAAAAGGTTTTAAAGTATTTAACTATTTTTAAAGTATTTTCTATATTGTATTTTATTTTATTTATTTATTTTTATTTATTACTCTTTATTGCACCATAATAACAAAAAAAAACATATATACAAACGAAAACAATATTTAGATTATGGGTACAAAAGGCGGTCTTATCGCTTATGCGATCTCTTCCAGACAACCTTTGGGTAGAGGAGAAAAGACAGAAGGTGGTGGATGGCGCATGATGGAGTAGAAACATTAATAATATTAATATATAAAATAATACATATCATAAACATATACATTCTACATAATATATAAATACATAACTTATAAAATAAATATACAATAATATAATACAAATATATACGAGTATAGGTACACAGCAACATATATGCAATTATGAAGGCGACAATTTAGTAATAAGAAAGAAAGGACAGCAGAAAGAATATTTACTGAGAGAGATAGTGCGATTTCACAGCGTTCTTGAAAATGGTTAGTGATTGCGCACTCCGTATGGAGGATGGTAGTGAGTTCCACAGTCGCACGGCGCGCACAGAGAATGAGTTAGTGTAGAAAGAAGAAGTATGGGAAGGAGTTTTAAGGCATAGGTTTGTTGCACTGCGTAAGCCATAATTTTGGGACTCACCGAGAAAAACAAATTTTTCTTTAAGATAGTAGGGAGTTACAGGGTTAAAAAGAATGGAGTAAAGAAGAGAGAGGATATGCCAGTCACGGCGAAGACGTATAGGGAGCCACTTGAGCTTTGAGCGATACTGAGAAACATGGTCATATTTGCGTAGTCCAAATATAAACCTTATACAGATATTTTGAAGGCGCTCAAGTTTATTTAATTGGACTTCGGTGAGGTCTAGGTAGCAGGTGTCGGCATAATCAAGGACAGGAAGGAGTAAGGTGTGTGCAAGCGAAATTTTGGTGTCGACGGGCAAGAAATTACCCAATCTTCTTAGTGAGCCTGCGACCATGAAAATCTTTCGACTAAGCTCAGCCATCTGGACTGACCATGACAAGGTCTTATCAAAGTGAATTCCGAGATTTTTGACACTGTCGCTATACTCTATACACACACCGTCTAACACTATCCGCGGAAGCGTACTCGTTTTTATTTTGGCTATGTAGCGTGGGCTGCCGATAATGATGATCTGAGTTTTTGCTGGGTTTAATGCCAAACCGAAAGATTTGCACCAATTAGTAATTACATCCAGGTCTGTAGCAATAGTCTGTATGGCGGTTGTAATGTCAGTTAACGTAGCTTGTGTATATATCTGTAGATCATCTGCATAAAGGTGGTATGAGGAATGAAGTTGTGTAGTGATGGAATTAATGAATAACGAAAAAAGAAGAGGAGATAAGACGCCACCCTGAGGAACGCCGGCAGAAGTATGACACCACGATGAAAAGGTATTGTCAATACGTACTCGTTGCCGACGCCCAAACAGGTAAGTTCGAAACCAGTCAGTTACCATTGGAGATATGTTGATTGAACGCATGCGTGCTAACAGAATGTCAATATCAACAGTATTAAACGCATTACTGAAGTCCAGTAATGTAAGAACTGTTAATTGCGAATTATCCATTCCGTGCCGGATATCATCACTTATTTTGACTAAAGCAGTGGTTGTACTATGACCAGGTCTGAATCCTGATTGGAGTGGATTTAACAGGTCATTTCTTGATAGGAATTTACTAAGTTGATCATGGACAAGTCGTTCAAGAGCTTTAGAAAGGAAAGGAAGAATAGAGATGGGACGGTAATGGGAAAAAGAAGACGGCTTACTAATTTTAGGAAGAGGAATAATATGGGCATCTTTCCAGATGGGAGGGATATAACTAGAGGATAGGGAGTTGTTAAAAATTGTGGAGATTGTAGGGAGGATAATATCGAGGATAAGATGGACCATAGTACGACCAACACCATCAGTACCCATGGCATCAGAGTTGATTGATAACAAGCTCTTCTCAACATCACAATTAGTAACTAGATTAAACTTAAAACTTGGATAATCAGGAGTTGGAGTAGTTGAAAGGAGATTTAACGTATTTGTTTTCATGTTGTTGTTAATAACAAAGGAAGATGAGAAGTGCCTATTAAGGTTGTCTATGTTGACATTGAAAGAATTACTGATGGGATTACGATCTTTACCAACCCCTAGAGATTTGAGAAATTTCCAGACTTTGGCCGGATTACCATTCTCGACAGATTTATGAATATGGCGTCGTTGTGCCTCTCTACACACCTTATTGCAGTGATTTCTAGCTTTAATGTACTGGTCCCGATATTTATCAGGGTCGGATTTAAATTTAGATTTCGCCTTGTTTTTAATGATCTGGATGTCCTTAATTTCTTTAGTTAGCCAAGGTGCAGGTAGATGCTTCACGCGAATAGGTCGAATAGGAGCATGGCGATCATATAGGTCAGTGATAATTTTGTTAAATATCTCCACCTGATCTTCGACAGATCCTGTATTATGAACTGAGGTCCAATCAATGTCCAGGGCATCCTTACGCAAACGGTTTAAATCGATAGCACCAAAATTTCGTCGCATCAGGATTTTATGTCTGCATTTCGGAGGACGTATTCTAAATGATAGGAAAATAAGGTCGTGAAAAGAAAAGGCATCCGCAGTGTGTTGACCATGTTTATCGACAAGATCAGGGGAAGAGACAAGGATAAGATCTAGAAGGGAAGGTTTACAACTAGGAAAGTAATGCGTAGCACGAAGGGGCAAGATAGTGAGGTTACAGGCATCAGCCATAGATCGGAGACAGTCTGAGCGATAATCATTTTTTAAAAGACATGTGTTAAAGTCTCCTAGTATTATTGTATGTTCATAGGATGGGATCATATTCTCTAAGAGATTTTCTAGAGGAGTGAAGTAATCAATTGTAGGTAAAGGACTGTACACAACACCTAGGAGTATTTTGGAGTGAGAAAGACTGACTTCGATGAAAAGGTGTTCTGCTTCATTGGAGGGATTGTTACTATTTGAAATGGAAATTATATTGAAAGGAATATGTGAACGCAGATAAATAGCAACACCACCACCACCCTTACCAATACGATCATTGCGGATAAGAGTGAAGCCAGGTAATGTGTAACAGGAAGATGGGAGACAAGGTTTGAGCCAAGACTCAGATACGAGAATAGCATGTATAGTACTGACATTAAACGACGCCAGCATATCCGGGAAATGAGCTGGAATGCTCTGTGCATTTATATGCACAGCATTAAAATTTTTACTTACAGTAGCGAACTCAGCTTGAAGAATTTCGTCTATGGGAGTAGGCAAACTATAAAAACTAGTGTCACCAGCGCCAGAAGAAGCGGAGTGAAAACTATCATCTTGCATAATTGACAATATTACTTGTACGAATATATACAAATCAATAATATACCAATAATATAAAATAAGATATACCTAACTATAATAAAAAAAAATAATAATAATAAAGACAGTACCTCTACCCGCCAGTTGAAAGTACGATATGAACACATTTCTTATTACATACCATTTTACAAATAAGTTTAACTAAGATAAAACAATAAAAAAAGAATTGACACAATAATATGTAGTAATCTTACAATATATTTAAAAAAAAAAATGGCTTTGCAAAATAGTATTTAAGACGGAAAGAAAAAGAAAAAATAATGAAATAAATTACAAATTTTAATCATAGACTCTTCGTCTATGATTGATGGCAGTATAAAATTACATAGATCCGTGTAAGCGAGATAAACATACTGTTTTGAAGTTCCTTCTCTAATGCAGTATCTCATTCTTAGATACATTAGTATGAAATGACGCTGTCAGTACTTAGTTGTCAAATCAAACTGTCAGAAAAGTCAACATGAGTGTAGACTTAGTATAATATGACAGATCAAAACAAAATTTTATAAAAATAAAACTCAAATTGTGAAGTGAGTTACCCACTAAAAATAAACAATTATTTGAATTTAGTAATTAGTTAGCAGTTCAATATTAAATTAATAATCTACCTACGTTTAATAAAAGTGAACAAGAGGAAGTTGCGGACAGTATCAATATATGATTATTTATATTAACACTACACGGAAACAACTTTGAAACGTGATGAGTTTTCATAAGAATCACATTACTTAAATTATTGCAGTACACGAAGAAACATCACAAACACACACTCACGTTCATTTTCTAACGACTCGCTTGCTGCGGGCTGCTACCGCGGCAGAAGCCTTCGGTGCAGCCGACCCTCTAGCTTCCGATGAAACCGAACTCAAAGCTTCCGATGCAATCGCAGCAGCGGCAGAAATAGAGTCTATAAGTTTGTTGACCTCAGTTATGGTGGTGACTCGATGTCTTGTGTCGCCATTTCCGGCGATAACCACAAATCCGTCGCGCGTCCAACACTGCTTAACTCCAAAGTGGCGTCGAGCGCATATAAAAGCCTCGTGCCTCCCCTTTGTCAAAAACTCGGAGACTGTGATTCCAGTGTCCTTCAACCCAGTCTTGGCAAACCATACTTTATTCCGTAAAGCGAGATCAGGAAATTTTACCAAGATAGGACGAGGTTTGTCTCCAGATGTTCTGCCCATTCGGTGACACCTGCTGATGTTAGCTTGGGAAAAACCTGGGATCTTCAATTTGTCTGCTAAAACTTTAACTATGTCTTGGGAAGTATCACTGCCACCGGATTCCTGGACACCATGGAATAACAAAATCTTTCTGCGACTTCGCATCTCGAATTGGTCCATCTGGTTTGCTAGCAATTCTAGTTGCTGCTGAAGGTTGCAGAAAGTGTTTGCTACAAATGTTTGGAATACTCCAAAGTCTACAGTTATAGAAGACACAGTGCTTGGTGTGGTGCTAACTTTTTGCAAATCGCTTTGAAAGGAGGCCATCTTTGCATTTAGTTGTTCCATCATAGTGAAAAATGTACCTTGTAGTGCATCCATAGTGAGATCTTGAAAGGAGTAAATGTTACTGGTACAAGCAGAAATATACTATCTCTTGAAGTTTGGCATATAAAAATTCAAAAATATGTAGATATATTAATTATTTATAAATATAAACTGGGAGCACTTTTTACTTGAGTGTATTGAGATGCAGCTACCCCCCTAATAATATGTTCAAAAACTTAATATAAGTCGATATCTGTATCATGTTCAATTACTTTGTTTCTAATACTGTTTAAACTTTGCTTGTATTATGATTTAAATTATAACTCTAAATAATCTGTTTTTGGCAATAGCATATGCTGGTGGTCACTCTATTCTCCCAAATTGAATTTTAAAGATTGTGTATTATTGTAAACATGTACAACATATATTTGAAGAAGAATGCGAGGTGAGTTTCTTGGCAGTTCTTCTCATTCCGAACTGACGGTAGATTTGACATATCATAATAGTCTGTAATAGATCTACATGAATAAAAATATTTTGAATTTGAATAAATTCAAACTATCACCAGTTATCATCATCCTCTGCTTCTTCCTTATCCCATTTATTTGTGGTCGGCGTTATATATTTTTCTCTTTCATTCATCTCTGTTCGCAGTCATCTCGTCACTTACTCTCTTTCTTACCATATCATCTTTCACACAGTCCATCCATCTCTTTTTCGGCCTTCCTCTGCCCTTATAACCATCCACAATCATATGTATGTAACACCTTCCTCAAACTGTCACCAGTGACATGTCACATGGTAATAATATTTAAATAGTTGTAAATACTTAAGAACACTCGGGACACATGTATATTCTCATAGTTAGAGATGTGTCAACTCGAGATACTAACTCGAGTTAAATCGAGTTGCGCATAATTCAAGTTAACTCGAATTGAATTCTGCCAAGTCGAGTTGGAAGAATTCAACTGGTAAATGAATGAATCAAGTGAAAGAGCGAGAGCATGATTTTGTCATCGAACTGACAATAACATGAAATTTTCCGATCATTTCATATCATACAATTTTCACTCTTCACAAATATTTCAATATTGATTTAAGATTGTTACCATTTTTTTTTCGCAGATTCGTCCGATTATGTTATAAATAAAATGATTATGCGTTCCATAAGTCCTTCCGGCCTTAAAGTGCCATTTCCACTCGCCCCCTAAAGTTCGGTGAAGTTTTCAATGCTGACTGCGCCCCAAAGACATTAGAATTGTTCGAAAAAATGAAAATAAACTTTTTATTCCAGGTAACTCGAGTTAACTCGAGTTACCTGACTTTTAACTCGAGTCATGTTTATTACGAGTTAGCACATCTCTACTCATAGTGATTCGCGTCGATATGACCTCGTGCGAAACGCCCGCGTGCATTTAAATTGCTCGTTTTATCTACCACATAACTGTCGTTTACTATAAAGTTTATAGCTACGGTGGATACTATGTTTAAAGTCAAGTGCCTCGTTTCTGGCCTATTTTCTTGTTTAAAATATAAGGCAGGAGTTTTAAGTTTTGTTTCAGCATATAGCATTCAATCATATAATTCGTAGTAACTATTTAAATTATTATTAATAATAATAAATATAATATATACTGATATTTTTTGTATGGAATCATTTTAACTCATTATCATTTTAGAATTATAATTATAATGTTAATCACTGATTTTGTATTTTGATTTGTGACGACTTTTTGAAATTATTCATTATAATTTCTACCAGGCAACAGAACCAACAAATTATACCTATATTAATTTATTCTATGTATAGATTTAATTTAACTTTTGTATTACATAAAATAACAATGAGTTACTCAGTAATAATAACTGTAACAACTGAAATAGCTTATGTGCACGATTTGTAAGTAAATAATATTTTTGGTAAGAATTTGAAGGTCACGTGTATATTTATTTTTTATTTATTTATTTATTCATTTATTTCGGCAGAAAATAGAAGAAATAGAAATAGAAATGACAGCAGAAGGTGACATTCCCGGCTGAAGAACTTGCTAGAATGATTTGGGTGTAACATAACCTCACTCTTTTGAGCAGCCGCTTCAAGAATGAAAATGTCATGTTGATCAAAATATTGTCCAACCTCCAATAGGAGTGGAGCTCAAAGAAAAATAATTAATTTTAAATAATCCTTATCATTACATAGTACAAAATAAAGTCGCTGTCGCTGTCTATCCGTCCCTATGTATGCTTAAATCTTTAAAACTACGCAAAGGATTTTGAAGTGGTGTTTTTTAATAGATACAGTGATTCAAGAGGAAGGTTTATATGTATAATCCAAGTATACCCGTCCGAAGACGAGGCGAGTAGCTAGTATATTGTATATTACAGTCAATATTATATCGAAAAATTAATTTTAAATTTAATTTTATATCCAAACAAATAAATACCTGTGGTATTTTGTTTGAATATAAATATCAAATCGTGTGGGCCGCAGTACAGTGGGGTGGCATTGACTCCGCGACGGGCGCTAAGTGCGAAATGTCTCCGTGCCATAGGGTCCGCTTTTTGTGGCCACTTTACGAGATGACGAGGGACAAAAAGCTAATAGCCACGGATCAGTGCCGAACAGAGGCGAGAGGGGGCGGAGACCTGTCCGCGCTCGCCGCAAACAAACAAACAAATATACTTATTATATTGAGACGTTTGTGACCCTACCATTACGTATATGATGAGTTAGATCACACCTATCTATACATATAAATATAATTGGAGTGTCTGTTTGTAATAACCGTTTTTTACTACATGCATATGAATATAAATACGGTACATACACCAAAATAACATTTCCTACAATTTTTGTCTGTCTGTCTGTTTGTTCCAGCTAATCTCTGAAATGGCTGGACCTATTTTGACGGGATGTTTTTTGGCAGGTAGCTGCTATAATATCGAGTAACTTAGGCTTCATTTATTTTAGTAAATTTCTCTTATTTTAGAAAATTAAAGGTAAATTCCACGCGGACGAAGTTGTGTGTACAGCTAGTTATAAATGAGAAAGTTTGTAAATATGGATGGATGCTTATTCCTTTTTTATGCAAAAAATGCTGAACGAATTTTTATTTAACTTTAACAGTAATATAGCTTATTCATCAGAATAACATATAGGCAACAAATTTCATGCAGGTGAAACCGGGGCAACACCTAGTAATATATAGTTGTACATATTACTAGGTGGGAACACCTAGTAATACACATAAAAAATAAAAATACTTTACAAATTAGTCAATAATCTAATTTTAATAATAATAATCTCAGGAACAATTCACACAGCGCCATCTAGACCCAAGTTAAGCTAGCTAAAGCATGTTTTATGGGTACTAGACAACTGATGCAAATACATAGATTCTTTTTTCGTAAAGACATATATATTATACATAGAAAACACCCAGGCCGATACAAACAATCATACTCATGAATACAATTGTTTGTCTCGTGCGAGGAATCGAACCCGCGACCATCGGACGTAAAGCGGTGTGTTAGAAGCTTCCTTTACTTATTTTTATACAAAAATCTTTAAATTAAAGAACAGGATAGGATATAACAGGACCGGACTGGGAGATATTTGCAATATCTCCCGGTCTGGTCCTGTTCTATATGTAGATATTTGCAATATCTCCCAGTCCGGTCCTGTTATATATATAGATATTTGCAATATATCCCAGTCCGGTCCTGTTGTATATATAGATATTTGCAATATCTCCCAGTCCGGTCCTGTTATAGAACACAAATGCGACCTATCAGGCATACAATGACGTCAATTTGTACAATACTGCCTCTCATTTATCTACAAGATCTGTCTGACTCACAGCTCGTCTCCGGATTGTAAAAAAGTGTGGTATTATGAGCTGGGACCCGAGGACGGGGCCGCCAACTGACTTATCGGTCCATTTAGGATCAGATAACCTAATTTGTGCTATCCGGAACTTGTTGCTCGTAAATTAGTAGGTTGTTTGGAGTTTTTTAAGCGGTGCGGGTACCTGGCAGGAAGCGCCGCCGGCGCCCGACACCGCGTCCCTTACACCTTTATTGCCTGCTCAATAAATGTGGGTCACCGAGTTACAATTTTGCATACTTCCCATAAAACCCGTGTAGTTTTTTTATCTGAGAGGGGAAGGGGGTTGTTGGTAATGGGTAGTCGTCAGTAACTTCCATTGCTAGCACCATTTTAGGTCTTTAGGTCGACCTCCACGTGAAAATCGTCGTGATAAATTCTTGGTGAATTTGTCACGATCGGCTAACTGACCTGTCCTGCGCTCATCTTATCCTCCACTGGTGCTCTGCCAGCGTAAACCGTTAGCGCATGCGGGTGCACCATTCCATTATCATACACAAATGTATATAATATTTATATAGATTCTCAGATATATATATATATAGATATATCTCATATATAAAATTCTCGTGTCACAATGTTGGTTTTCATATTCCTCTGAAACGGCTTGACCGATTTTTATGAAATTCTATATGCATATTCAGTAGATCTGAGCATCGGCTACTATCTATTTTTCAGACCCAAATTCAAATTCAAAAGATCTTTATTCATGTAGGTCCATTACAGACTCTTATTACATGTCAAATCTACCGTCAGTTCGGAATGATTTAGAGATGAGAAGAACTGACAAGAAACTCAGCTCGTATTTTTTTCAAATAATAGTGGAACATGTTTATACTAATAAATAACCCCTAAGTGATAAGGGTTGTTCACATTATTTTTTTATTTTTTTGGCAAAATTTTTTATTTATATTTATTTATAATGTGTTATTAAAAATACCCAGACCAATACAAACAATCATACTCAATAATACAAATGTTTGTGCCGTGGGAGGAAGCGAACCCGCGACCATCGGTCGTAAAGCGGTGTGCTAGACCGCTAGACCACCGAGGTCGTCGAATGTATATATAAGTATAGAAATTAATTATTGGTTCCGGCTTTTCAATTATTGTAGAGAGATCTAATAGACTGTGTGTTACTCGATAATGTAGATAATCATGTAGCTATCATTTCGACCTACATACAAGAGGACTCACTCACTTTTTTTATTTATTTATGCATATTAATAATATAGTTGTCTGTACTACTATAT